CCCTGCACCCAGATGTTATTTTTAAAAAACCTGAGGGTTTGGAGATTACCATGTCCAGCAGAGCTCATTCCTAGTTGGTCCTCTATGAACTCTACCATAAAATTGTCCTGTAGTAAGTTTATTACATTTATGCACCTTTAACTGTTCCTGCAGTGCCATTACTCTAGTCAATATCTGGGTAGTTAAAATCCCCCATTATTATCACTGTCCCAGCCCTTTGCAGAAACCCTTTCGATCTGTGCAAGGAGCTGAGCTCTACCTCCTCCTCATTAACCACGGGAAGCTTATAAACAAATTCCCAGTGATTACCTTTGTAAGTACTCCTCAACCCCATGTGCAGTTCCTCTACCCATAATACTTCAGGCCTCATCACACTCTCCATCAACTAGGTCCTCTTTCACACACTCGCTCTGAGATCACTTCTCACATAGAGACAGACACCACCACCTTTCATTTTACCCTGTCTCTCTGAAAGAGAACATAATAATCCTGCCTAATCCTCCTAGATTGTAAGCTCGAACTATTATACAGTTGCAAGAAAAAGTATGTGAACCCCTTGGGATTACATGGAGTTTTGCATGGAATTTGGCATAAAATGTGCTCTGAACGTCATCTAAGTCACAACAATAGAAGAACACAGTCTGCTGAACATAATACTACACAAACATTAGATGTTGCCATGGTTTAATTGCACATAACATGTAAACATTCACAGTGCAGGGAGGAAAAAGTATGTGAAACCTTTGGACTTAATAACTGGTTGACCCTCCTTTGGCAGCAATAACCTCAACCAAACGTTTCCTGTAGTTGCAGATCAGACCTGCCACAACGATCTGGAGTCATTTTGGACCACTCCTCTTCACAAAACTGTTTCAGTGTAGCAATATTCTTGGGATGGTCTGGTGTGAATCGCTCTCTTAAGGTCATGCCACAGCATTTCAATCGGGTTGAGGTCAGGGACTCTGACTGGGCCACTCCAGAAGGCGTATTCTGTGCTGTTGCAGCCATTGTTTTGTTGAATTTTTTTTTTTTTTTACTTGTATGCTTTGGGTCATTGTCCTGTTGCATCACCCATCCTCTGCGGAGCTTCAGTTGGCGGACAGATGGTCGTACGTTTTCCTGCAAAATGTCTTGATAAACTCTGGAATTTATTTTCCCATCAATGACAACAATCCGTCCAGGCCCTGAGGCAGCAAAGCAGCCCCAAACCATGATGCTCCCTCCGCCATGTTTCACAGTGGGGATGAGGTTTTGATGTTGGTGTGCTGTGCCTTTTTTTTCTCCACACACAGTGTTGTGTGTTCTTCCCAAACAACTCAATCTTGGTTTCATCTGTCCACAGTATATTTGCCAGTAGTGCTGTGGAACAATCCAGGTGCTCTTTTGCAAACTTCAAACGTGCTGCAATATTCTTTTTGGACAGCAATGGCTTCCTCCGTGGTGTCCTCCCATGTACTCCATTCATTGTTTCATGTTTTCCTTATTGTAGATGTGTCAACAAAAATGTAGCCATGTGCCAGAGATTTCTGTAGGTCTTTTAGCTGACACTCTGGGATTCTTCTTTACCTCATGCAGCATTCTGCGCTGTGCTCCTGCAGTCATTTTTACAGGACGAGACCACGCCTAGGGAGAGTAGCAACAGTGCTAAACTTTCTCCATTTGTAGACAGTCTGTTTCTTACCGTGGACTCATGAACATCAAGGCTTTTGGAGATACTTTTGTAAACCTTTCCAGCTTCATGCAAGTCAACAAATTCTTGATTGTAGGTCTTCTGAGAGCTCTTTTCTGCGAGGCATGGTTCACATCAGACAGATGCTTCTTGAAACCAGTAAACCCAAAAAGTGTGTGTTTTTTTAAGGGCAGGACAGCTCGTCAGCAAACACATCCAATATCATCACATGATTGGAGTCAAGGTTTGCTCACTCCTGGCTCCAATTAGCTCTGGGAAAAGTCATTAACATACTTTTTTCCTCCCTGCACTGTGAATGTTTACATGTTATGTGCAATTAAAACCATGGCAACATCTATTTTATGTTTGTGTAGTATTATGTTCTGCAGACTGTGTTCTTCTATTGTTGTGACTTAGATGACGTTCAGAGCACATTTTATGCCCAAATCATGCAAAACTCCACGTAAATCCCAAGGGGTTCACATACTTTTTCTTGCAACTGTAAATACTGTATAATAATAATAATAATGGCCCAGTTATGTGAAGAATGAAGCCAAGATTCACCAATACCAATTAAATCATAGTTCTCTTCATGCACCAAAGCTTCTAACTCACCTATTTTGCTTGGCGGACTGTTTTCTGAGACAGGGAAGCCAACTGGGAACTATCCAACATCCAGGATGAGGACTGGAATGCACCGTGGATGATGTCAGGAAGCAAAAGTGTTTCCAAACATGTGCGCTCTTTTGTCAAGCTCTTGTGATTTAGTAAACTTTACCTAGAGGTGCTTCTCCTTTTCCTTTCTTGTTTCCCAAAAACAATCTAAGCTAACTATAATTACTATATTATAACAGGATATATGTAAATGGATAGAAAAACTGGCTAAAAGATCGTATTCAAAGAGTAGTGGTTAATGATTCATACTCTGAATGGTCTAGGGTCATCAGTGGTGTACCCCAAGGTTCAGTGTTGGGACCCTTACTTTTTAATATATTTATAAATGATATATAGGGTTTGATATCATAAATCCCATTTCAGTCTTTGCAGATGACACCAAGCTGTGCAGTGGAATAACGTCCTTACAGGATGTCTCCAACTTACAAGCCGACCTTAATGTACTGTGTAATTGGGAAACTATGTGGCAAATGAGGTTTAATGTTGATAAATGTAAGGTTCTGCACTTGGGGGCTAAGAATATGCATGCATCATACATACTGGGGGGGGTACAACTGGGGGAATCAATGGCGGAGAAGGATCTGGGAGTTCTGGTAGATCAGAAGCTTAATAATGGCATGCAATGCCAAGCTGCGGTTTCTAAAGCAAGCAAAATCCTCTCTTGTATTAAAAGAGGTATAGACTCCAGAGAGAGATATCATATTACCCCGGTACAAATCATTAGTAACACCTCATCTGGAATATGCAGTTCAGTTTGGGCACCAATTCACAAAAAGAACATTGGGGAACTGGAGAAAGTGCAGAGAAGGGCAACCAAAATGATAAGAGGCATGGAGGAGATTCAGCTATGAGGAAGATTAGAGGAACTGAATTATTCTCTCTTGAGAAGAGGAGATGAATATGTCAACATGTATAAATACATAAGGGGGGGATATGATCACCATGTATAATACATAAGGGGGGTATGATCAACATGTATAAAGTAACATCAGTGGTTCATATAGTGAACTCGGTGTAGAGTTATTCACCCTGAGGTCATCACAGAGGACAAGGGGGCACTCTTTACGTCTGGAGGAAAAGAAATTTAACCACTAGCCTACAGGGCACTTTATACCCCCTCCTGTCCAGGCCAATTTCCAGCTTTCAGCCCTATCACAATTTGAATGACAACTGTGCGGTCATGCAACACTGTACCCATATGAAATTTTTATCATTTTTTTGAGACAGATAGAGCTTTCTTTTGGTGGTATTTAATCACCTCTGGGATTTTTATTTTTTCTTAAACAAACCAAAAAACCACTGAAAATTTTGAAAAATAAACATTTTTTCTTAGTTTTTGTTATACAATTTTGTAAATAAGTGATTTTTTCTCCTTCACTGATGTGTGCTAATGAGGCTGCAATGATGGGCACTGATAGGCTGCACTGATGGACACTGATAGGTGGCACTGATAGGCACTGATGAGGAGGCACTGGTAGGTTGCACTGATGGGCACTGACAGGCATCACTGATGGGCACTGAAAGGCAGCACTGATACATGACACTGATATATGGCTCTGAGAGGCGGCACTGATAGGCAGCACTGACTGGCACTGATAGGCTGCACTGACTGGCATTGTTAGGCAGCACTTACTTTCACTGTTAGGCGACACTGACTGGCACTGATAGGCAGCACTGACTGGCACTGATAGGCGGCACTGATGCACACTGATAGGCGACACTGACTGGCACTGATAGGTGGCACTGATTGGCAGCACTGATAGGTGGTACTGATTGGCATTGATAGGTGGCACTGATGGGTGACATTGAAAGGCAGCTCAGATGGGCACTGATATGTGGCATTGATGTGCACTGGTAGGCACTGATATGTGGCATTGATGTTGCACTGATGGGCACTGGCACGTGGCACTGATGAGCACTGATTGCTGGCACTGATGGACACTGACAGATGGCACTTCTGGGGCCACATTGATCATCAGGGCACACTGATCATCAGTGCCCTGATGATCAGTGTACATGCCCCCTCCGCGGAAAGCCGATTACCGGCTCTCCTCTCCTCTCGAGCTGTCAGTGTGACAGCTCGAGAGAAGAGAAATGCCGATAACCGACATTTACGTGTTTATATGTGATCAGCTGTGATTGGACCAAGCTGATCACATGACCGAGCCGACATCTTCGGCTCTTTCCGTGATCCGTGATCCGCTGTGTCCGAGGGACACAGCGCACCGGCGATCACGGCGCGCTGCGCGCTCCCTGAAGCCGCGCATGCGCAGTGAGAATGGAAGGACGTCATATGACGTCCTATCAGAACGAGAGAACCACCTTGCGCCCGTCATTGTACTATATGGCGGTTGGAAGGTGGTTAATCTCCACGTACGGAAAGGTTTCTTCACAGTGAGAGCTGTGAAAATGTGGAATAGACTCCCTCAAGAGTTGGTTCTGGCCAGCTCAGTGGATTGCTTCAAAAAAGGCCTGGATTCTTTCTTAGATACACCGAATATAACTGGATACTAACATTTATAGGTAAAAGTTGATCCAGGGAATATCCAATTGCCTCTCGGGGGATTAGGAATGAATTTTGTCCCTGCAGGAGCAAATTGGATCATGCTTTGCTGGGGTTTTTTTTGCCTTCCTCTGGATCAACTGTGGGTGTAGGATTACAACTTTTATTTATTTATTTTTTGTTCTATGGTTGAACTGGATGGACTTTTGTCTTTTTTCAGCCAGACTAACTATGTAACTATATGTAACTATGTAACTACAATTTTTTTTATTAAAGATTGGGGAAACGTTCTTGGGTTTTATTAATTAAACACAGTTTCCCTTTTTGGGAAATTTTCTTGTACCAGAAATAAAAACATGACAAGAGGCTCAACCTCAAGTCATTTTTAGAACGTTTCCACTTACGTACTCTCTCAATTACACAGGAAATGAAATGATATTTCCACATTAAAGGCACAGATTGGCAGATTGAAGATATTCTAACCCTTCCACACTTTAAATAAGGAAACATATTCTTGTAAGAATTGGCCTCAATCTGTTCCTAATTTGTTCATTATAATATATGCTCCACTGATTGTAGGGACAAATGTGAATTTTTTTTATGTTAGGCAAGGTACATTATGTACTGTATGTATTGTATCTATATACTGTATGTATACGTGCGTGTGTACTATATACAGTATATATATATATATATACTATATCTAAAACGGTTTCAGTGGGCAATATATATATAATATATATATACTGTTGGCGCTATAGAAATCCTGTCTAATAATAAATATATATATATATATATATATATATATATTGTTTAAAGCAAGAGGCATAAAGTCCAAAGGAATTTGCAAGCATTACTGCTTACATTTGCTCTGAACTGTATAGCTTATAGTACCCACAACAATTTGGATTTGCCAAAAATATATTACATATTCAAATACTGTATATACTGACCTATTAGCCACATACATATTTCAGAATTTATGGTATAAATTAAATATATCACATGATGCACCTTGAAGTTTTTTTAATCCATTCCAAATTCAAGAAAACATATTAGAAGTTACTTTATACATCATATGTTTAACTAAAACTTGACTGCATGAAAGTTGCCTCAATTTCCTGGGAAAAGTTACTCAGCATTTCTTTGGCCCACCATGTGACCAGACGCAAGGGAATCTCCAGGACACTCCAAACTTGATTTCTTAATATAATTGTGTAGAATTATCTAAATTGTTAACTCTGATAAGGTTAACATTTGTCTACAGATCTCTGGCTTTAACAGATGACACTTTAATAGACATTGTATCAAGTAACTGTTCTGGAAGATAAATGACGCTGAACAATCGTGCAATCCACATTCATAATCGCTTCAATCAAATTATAAGCAGTCAATGTTTCCTCAAGTTCACGGCGAGCCATTACAAAGCCTGACAATAGCGTTACCGCTGAAGGTTGTGCCAGCTAAATGAATTCTCCCTTTGCTGACACAGGGCAAGAATCTTATTTGGTTCCATCCCTTATCTGCGTTCCCTCTTCCTCTCGTTGCAGTTGTGAGGATTCATGTTTTAGCAGATCTTGACATTCAGCTTAACGGGGGCCTTTGTCACCTCTCAGGAATGGAAAGAGTTAGCGAGCTTCACTTTCTGGATCTTATCCATACACCATATTTTTCCCATTTTGTCAACTTTATAAGTGTTTTTCTCTCAGTGGCCATTTATCAGCTTCACTTCTCCATACCTCTTCATCGTTTCAGGGAAAAGCTGCTGGTCTGCTCATTTTTTATTTATTTTTTCATGGCTACATAGTTAAAGCTACACCCCAGGCAGGTACAACAAAGGCAATTATAATAATTATGTATTCATCAGAAAACATTAAATGCATTTTAATTTCAACCAATGTAAAAGGCCCCCCAGAGATATCTCCAATTTTTTAAAATGTAACCATCTCAATACCGGACACTTTTTCCCCCTTCCTGCCCAGGCCAATTACTCAGTCATGCAACACTTTACCAAAATTAGATTTTTATCATTTTTTGAGACAGATAGAGCTTTCTTTTGGTAGTCTTTAATCAACACTGTGTTTTTTTCATTTGTCTCTATATAAGTGTAGTGCTACCCCTGTAGGGGCCGCTAATAGTGCTGATTCCTCTGTCCTCACCTCGCTCTGTAGCAGACCTCAACTCCTCTGACACCTCAGGTTATATCACCTTTGATTTGCAAACTTTGCAGTATCTTAATGTCACCCTGTAGTATGTAGTACATTTCACTGACAATGTGCACCAATAATAGGAAGTGAAGTTTTACACGTGAAGCATAAATTGTAGCTTCCCCACAAGTGTGTAACAACAGACAACAGATGGTTAATGTAGGAAAATTATAGAGCTAAGATGTCTGGGTGTACCAATGATGGTGGGCTAGGCCTACTTCGCTCTCTCTCTCTACAAATTGGAACAGTGTTAAAATATGAATGAATTAACTATATACAGTTCTCAATATGGATCCTCTGCTGGCTGCGTTGGGATCCTTGCATAGTTGGCGCACTTGATAAAAGCTGGCCACCCCTGCACACAGTGTAGTGTAGTGGGCTATACACTGTAGATCGAAACACAGGGTAATGGACTGAACAGATGTAGTCATTATGGATGCTGCAGACTAGCCAGGCTAACTAAGTGGAATCTGACTTGTGTAGTGAGATAACTCTAATTTAGGTCAATCACCCGCTCACCATCTCCATGACTCAAGTTGAATGACCGTGGTGAAAGGGCCCCACTGAGGACTGGGTTGTCCTGATGTCTTGGTAGTAATGCATGACGTGTGGTCTATGATGACTGCATAGTGGATGGAGTCAGTTGTTCAACAGTCATGGTGCGGTGTGCTGGCCCCTCCTCCATCTGGTGTCTGATGTGCAAGAGTGTGTGAAGTTGGGTCAATGGTGTGATCTTCAGACCAACCCAGGAGACCACAACTAGGAATGCAGCCGGGCCTCTCTCTCCATCTAACTTTGCAGACCGGTACCTTCCCTGTTAGGTGACTGATAGACAGGAGTGGATGGGATCAGGCCAGCAGTGTGGTGTGCAGGCCAGCTCTGAAGGCTGAATGGCAGATGGGGATGCGGCTATGCCTCCCTCTCTCTCTCTGACAGACAGGAGCTTTCCTTTTTTCTTCAAGCGGTGGCTAAATGGCTGCTGGGGATGTGGCTGTGTTTCTGTCCCTTTGACAGACAGTGGCAATCCTCTTCCCCTAGATGCTTTGTCTGTGGCTTGTAGCTTTAATCTTGGTCAGTACAGACTGTTTAAAAATCTAGTCAGAACTCCAGTCAGAAAATATAGTTCCCAGCATTCTCTGCTCCTAAGCAGTTCAGGGAGCTCAGTGTGCTCATTACCCCCATCGTTTGGCAGAAAAGGGAACTGCTTAATTTAACTCTCACATTACAGTCATTAAATGTCCTGAAATTTTTAATAACAGAAAACCTTGTTACACAAGCAAAATACAGAAAATTAAAAAAAACACCTTTTTCTTACTTTCAGTTATAAAATTTAGCAAATTAGTAAACTTTATTAGTCAAAAATGTATTCTGCTACCTTTCTTTTGTAAGAATAACCCAAATCAGTATATATTATCTAGTCTTTGTGAAAGGTATAAAGTCTATGATATATATATATATTTGAAAATGTATGAATCCTGACAGCCATTCATTGTGTACAATTCGTACAATTGACATGTGATTGCTGCAATTGGCTACAGCTCTCACATGGTACCAAGGCCGGCTTGGTACGGCCAGATCGAACCTCAGCAGAGCACACCGGAGGCACACACCTGGGGGACATCATATGACGTTCACCCAGGAAAACAGTATTCCCACTAGTAGGTCGGATGGGAAGTGATTAAGCCATGCAAGCACCACCTGACTCAACAAATGTTGATTTTAAAATGGACTGACCCTGGAAAATTGTCATTCTATAAAATGCAGTTATTGTTTGGGTATTCAGGCTGCAGATGCCTAAATGCAATAGCTGGAAGTTGAGGTTGAAGTTACAGCGTGGATGGGGAGTCTGACTGATTTTCTCAGAGAATCCAGAAAATTGAGCCATGTATGGTAGTCTTTACCTGAACTTCACTCTTGTGATCCTTTATACTTTAAAATGTATTTCCACTTTTGTAGTCAAATTTCAGAAAACCCCACTTTGTGTTTGTTGTATGTGTTCCCAGAGGTGGCTGCAAAAGTGGAAATACACTGAAAGAATCAGATTGAGAGAGAGAGGGAGGAGTAGTACTGTGAGCCAATCAGGCTCTGCTGTATGCACATGTGCAGGAGTAGAGAGCAGAGGTCTCAGTGTGCTTCTGCTCCATCATTGTCTAATGTAGCTGCCCTGTTGCCCCACTTACTTCTAAGGACAATAAATGTACTTTTCAGTATGATCATCTCTTTTATTGCAAGCAACAGCCTTTGATTGCTCTACATAGACCTTGTATGACACCTCAATTGGAAAAAATGTATGTGTGGTGGGATTTCAGCAAAAATAGGAGGATGGAACACTCCTGTAGCTTGACAGCCTATAAACTTACAAACAATATACAATGCCATACATAATGACCAAATGCAGTGAACAAATAGAGTCCAACTGTGCAGTACTACAGAGTAGTAAGTATGCATGTATGGAACAAAGTGCATGAAGTCACTACCAGGGGCGGACTGACAAATCACGTGTCCCCG